CAGAGACGGGGGAAGGAGATAGTAGTATCCTAATACCTATAACTATCCTAGTTGGTGTATAGCATAGTTGGGCGAGAGTACGGTATGGTCTTGTGTCGTGCGCTGTGCATCTCGCTGGGATTGGTTAGCTTGGGTGGATGGTTAAACGGTAATGAGTTTGTTTAGGCTGGATTAGAAGGCTTGACCGCGCGGAGGTCGTAGAAGACAGTCCGCGCTAGAAATTTGGATCCCGATCCGAACTGGGAGAAGTTTGTTTACATTAGCAAAAATTAAGTGACCTTGTTTTGTTTGGGAAGTTCTAAATATTTAGACTATTTAGGTGTATTAGTTAGTGATTTGGGAGACGGGGGTGGCAAAGGCGGTGAGAAGGGCACGTGGGGCCTATGTAAATGGAGGCAAGTGAACCGCTGAGAAGGAATTGAGTTAATTTGTAGTCATGAAGGGAGAGCGGGAGATAGGATTTTTAATAAAGTGAGCTGTTGTGTTTATGATGAACTGAGGGGTTAGTTGAATGCCCTGTTCTTGAATATCAATCAGGAAGGAATTTAAATCTTGAATGGTAGAGATTTGATGTTCGAAACGTTCTTTCTTTAGGTACTGAATGATGGGAGTTTAGATCTGCCATGTGTACTTTTATAGATTCGAATGCCAGGGGCTTCAAGTGTTAGTGGCGTTGGTAGGAGATAGTGGGATGAGAGAATTTGGTCGGCATGCTGTGTGAGATCTGAGGTTAGTTGAGTTTCTGTGACGAAAGTGTTTTGGAAAGGGTCAGTTTGAGTGGGGGTGGTGAAGAGCTCCGGGGCCTTGATAGGCGATGTGTGAGCGTCAATGGTGGTGACTTGGGGTGAGGGGTGGTTCAATTACAAGAGTTTGTGTGGTTTGGTCTAAACAGGGGGTATGGGGTGTAGGTATCATTTTAGTCTGGGTAGCATGGTCTGATAGGGGTGGAGGGGTGGGGGTGTTGATTCTTTTCCGTTTTTTCTCCTGGGTGGGAGCGCCAGAGGGTGTGGAAGTGGAGGTGGGGGTGGGGGTGGGGGTGGGGGTGGGGGGTAGGGGTGAAATGGGACGGGACTGGAGGGGGGCGGGGGGGGGGGGGGGGGGGGGGGTCCATAGACTGATCAGATGTGATTAATACAGGCAAATTTTTCAAGGTTTGAGAGTTTATATTCACATGAGTCCCAGGGACTTGAGTTTGGGCTTGGTTTGATTGATGAGTGTGGGAGTCTCGGGCTGAAGCTGTGTCCATGGCAGGGTCCTGGGTAGGCCGTTGAGGGTGAGGTTGAGACAGTAGTCTCCTGTGTCTAGGCTGTTTTGGCTGGTTCCCATTAAAGGTAATGGTAAGCGCCTTAGTGCCCGCCGAAAAATCGGCGTTGAGGGTGTAGTGAGCTACCCTTTATGAGAGGAGAGGGAGGATAACTCCAACAAGTTCCCTAGGGAGGGACTTGTTTATGGACTTTTCTGTGTAAGCCATGACTGTGTAATGACAACAGTGTGAACGACTGACGACTGACTGACGAACCACGACGGTTACCAAAGGGGCATCTGCTTGGTTTTATATAGTTGAGAGGACGAGGAGCTGGAACTGCGCCTTTACTGTTATTGGCCCAAAGTATCTAACGCCAATTTTGATTGGATAAGAATTTCTGACCTAAGGCTTGTAATGACTGACTGATTTCCCAAGATTTACTAACCTACTGTTTGACATTAACGATTAGAGGATTACTTTCTAAAAACAATGCATCTGGTATAATGTTTGCCTTGCGGTAATCCTTTGCCTAAGGGGGATAATTAGAGGTGATGGGTAGATGGACACTGACGGTGATTGAGCTACGCTCACTAGTAGACGTTGACGGGTATAAAATTAAAATAACAGGGGGTTATGTTTGGACATTGGGCATGTTGATTTTGTGCCTTATGGGTATGAATTTGGACGGATTATTGTTTATGTAAGTAGGATGTAAAATGAAAAAGCCTGGATAACTTTTATCAAAGTAATATTAAGTTTATATAAAACATTTGGAAAGTAAATTAATTAAAATGAAATAAAAGTAGAATAATAAAGGTAGCTAATTTAAATGTACAAGTATTTGGATATACAGGTATATAAGATTAAGTTGGGAATATTATATTATAATATAAGCTGTAGTTTTGATAAATTGTATTTAACATAATGTAAGGAATTTTCAATGAATTGGGACAAATATGTACACGATAACAATACCCCGGGGCTACACAAATCTTTTGTCCTCAGAAGAAAATAATTTGCCTACTTTTGTTTAAGTATGATTATTGGGGTTTAATTGTACAACTTCAAAAATGTTGTGATACACTAAAAGAATATTAACTGAAAATGGCTGGCTGAGAATTTTCTTAATGTGTCTACCGGCTAAAGCTGAAATAGAGATGATTTCTGGTACAAACAAGGATTGATTTGTGATTTTATTTGTAATTGTAAAGTTGGGCCATTTGAGATGAAGGAATGGGGAGAAATAACCTTGAACTTTAAGATCAGTGACAGTAGAAGGGGCGTAAATAAACCGATAAGGACATAATGACAATGACATAACTGGGACTAATTCACAAAGAGATCCAGTTGATATTTCAATCATAATGAGAGTGTGGTTGGATCTCCTTTTGAATAATTTGTGTAAAATAATACAAAAAAGGAGATGACAAATACATGACAAAGCAATAGGAGTGTTATCATACACAGTTTTTAATAAAAGGTGAATAGACGAATTTGCGGAAGGGGTTGGGTAATGATATTCAAATGTAGGGATTTGTGATTTGACTGGGACTGCTTTATTTACTAAGCATAAGGCTGCAGTAACAGTTCTTAATTTTAAGAACATACAAGCCATGGCAAAAAATGATAAGGCTGAAATAATTAAAGATACAGTAGTCATCCAAAACTGATAACTAAAGCCTGAAGATTTTACATTGATTTGACCATCAAGATATGACTCTGTAAGGGTCTGAAAGATAGTCTGCTCATTTTTGACACTTTGGGCCATGCGTGCGGGACTTAGATGATCCTTTTGATCTCTGGCAACGATAATATTAAATGTATGATTATAAATTTGGAAATTTTTAATTTGGATTTAAATTGGATTAGGGTATGTTGTATCCGCAGCAATAGCTGTTAATGAATTATCCTGAAAGAAATGTTGCAAGAGAGCCAAATTTACAGGATGAAGATATGTGATATTGCTTTGAGAATAATGTTGGCATTTACCTAAGCAAGCAGGTATTAAGTATGATTGAGTGCTGGCAGAACAGAGACAAGGAATGATAATCATGCAAAAAGAACAACCTTGAATTACCTTTTGTCCATGAGGACATACAAGAGTGAGTAGAGGTGTGTTATAAACCAAAAGTGTGGAGGGTTTTAGCTCTAACAGTTTAGAAGGTTGTTCCTGTAAAGTAAATTGGAAATTACCAAGATGTTTTACCACCTTCTTGTTATTTTGAAATAGTGCAGTTTCACAAGAGGGAACTGTTGATGCTACAAAAGGAACCATAAAAGGAGAGTGGTGCATATTAGTGCCATAACATTGTGAAACAAGATTGTTATTAAGAGTGACAGAATGTTGTTGATCCCGTGAGACTGCAATATAATTGGGGAGATCCAACAACTGTGTGGCTTGCTTGGAGGATTCGTTCATGGGAACTGGAAGTGATATAATGTTATAGAGAGTGAAAGGTTGGGGGTTTGCTGCAACAGGAAATTTAATAGTAATGTACAGTTTATTAGAATCTGTATGTGCAAAGACAAATTTGCCATGGTTGTAATAAAAATTTGGAGAAATTTGTAAAAGCTCAAAACTGGGAAACTGATCCTTGAGGAGGCGTTGAATATGATGAATAGTTTGGGCAAGGATATGGGGTTGTAGCAGTAATGGTGAAAGACTTCCTTTCACCAGATCTTGAACTCCAAGTTTAAATTCTTCTAACTTGTGTTCGATGATGGCAGTCTGTTCAATCTGATTGGTGAGGATGGAGGAGAGGGAGACAAAGGCTTCCCAAAGGCTGTCATAGGAAGCTTTAATGCTTGCTGTTGCATATCTAATGGATTCATGGTTGAGTTGGAAACCATGAAGAGTGTTCTCAAGTCGATGGTCAACAGTGTACATGAAAGAGGACATATTTTTAGAAAACTGATTTGATAGTTCACCAATGAAAGAGAGAAATGCTCTTTTACTTCTTTGATGTTTGGAAAATTTTGCTATTGGGAGAAGATGATTAATTTGTGAAAGTTTTACATTTATGAAAGTTGCACATCATGTTTTAATAGAATTTTGATTAGATTGGATCAAATTTACCAGATGACAGGTGGCATTATCTCGGTTGCATCCATTCATTGGGGTGAGATGAATGTGTGATGGGAGATCCAATTCATAAGTGTGAAGCCAGTAGTCACCGCCAAACTGAACTGTGAAGGTTGGCTTGAAGATCAGAACCCAGGGTTAATTTGCTGGATGATTTTTTTCTGTAGAGGCAGTGGACAAGAAGGCAAACAGAAACAATCCAAATATAAGGCTGTTGAAGATGGAGGAACCTGAAGAGAATATAAGATCATGACATAAGATGTAAATAAGTCTGGGTGAGGAGGCAACCACGTGCATAACCACCTTCTAGCACTGATACAATATGAACTTGTATGGGTTGAGGCCCATTTACATCCTGTTCTAAAGAGGGTAGAGAGTAAGGTTAGAGTGTTGGCCAACGAAGAAAGTGAAAATAAAGGAGAATGATTTAAAGAGCATTTGGATTTTGTTTCGGAAAAATCTTGATTTCTTCTTTCTTTGTCCACTTGCTGTCCACTTGGAATGGAAGTCATCACAAATATCTTGCTGAATATTTTCTTGAGGAACCCATGAAGAAGGATGTCCAACCCATTTTACCTTGTATTCCTTCCTACCTTTGTTCCACCTAAAGTGTAGAATTCTCCAAATTGGGTAGAATGGAGAGAGATCAGTAGTTTGATTTGCTGGCCCCACTTGATGCTGATTAACTAGATCTTTATCCTGTGGACCTGGGTTTGCAGATGTTTCTGGTGGAGCTTTTGGGTGCTCATGGTCCAGATGTGCAGGGTTGGGGCTGACCAATGAACGTGGGTGTGCAGAAGGGTCCAGAGGAGCATTCTGGGGCTCAGGGTCTGGGTCTGCTTGATGAGGGGAGGGTGTTGTGTGGGGTTGAGCAGAAGGGTCCGGAGGAGCATTCCGGGGCTCAGGGTCCGGGTCTGCTTGATGAGAGGAGGGTGTTGTGTGGGGTTGACCAGAAGGGTCCGAAGGAGCATTCTGGGGCTCAGGGTCCGGGTCTGCTTGATTGAGGATGTGATGATCATTGGCCTGCCTTTGGGTTATCTGGTTTGTGACATCATCTGCTGTAGTGCCATGAAAATCAGGATGGTTTTCCATGTTGGGCCTGAGAGTGTATGGCTTCAGACGATTTGCATGAACATAGGATTTGTATTCTTTTTGCGTCTGACGGTCACGTACCTTGTAGGTGTGGTTGAGGCCAATGTTGGAGATATACCAAGGACCAGTCCATTTCCTGGTGAGCTTTAGGCTGCATCCCTTCTTAACTTTTTGGTTGTTCATCAAGACAGTATCTCCAACTTGGAACTTGGGAAGAGCTACTTTCTGGTCGTGATGGGCTTTGGACTTCTTTTGAAATATGGCAATGTTTTCCCTGGCAATTTCCTGGGCAACCTTGAGGTTATCAATGATGTTCTGGAGTTGATGTTGAGTATCCTGTCTGAGGGTATCTCTTTGATTGAGTGCTGTATATAAAGGAAGCATCATTTCACGACCAAATAGCATATAATGAGGTGATTGACCCGTACTTTGACAGGGCGTACGACGAAGAGCCATCATGATGCATGGAAGTAATGTATCCCAATCATCTTGTTTTTGATTGGTGTACGTTCTCATTACCTGGGTAATGGTGCTATTGCGTCTCTCACACTCTCCGATGGATTCAGGATGGTAAGGTGATGTGGTATAATGCTTAACATCCATGAGTTCGCAGAGGGTGTTGACAAGTTTGGATGTAAATTGTCTACCATTGTCGGTGAGAAGTGTTCTTTGGGCGCCATACCTGGTAAAGACTTCATTGAAGAGTAGGTAAGCAACTTCACTGGCTTCCTGTGTCTTCATGGGAAAGGCTTCTGTCCATTTGCTGAAGGAATCTATGGCCAGCAGAACGTACTTGTTTCCTCGTTGAGTCTTGGGGAGAGAGCCAAGGATATCTACATGCAATCTCTCAAAGCTGATTTCTGTTCCCATTGGTACCATGAGTGCACGCTTTGCATGAAAAGAACACTTTGAAACCTGACATTCATGACAAGATTTGATGTAGGTGTCAATTCGCTGATACATACCTGGCCATAGTACTTTTGTAGTATGGAATTCCTGGTAGCATCGACCAAAGCGACATCCTCCTACCTTTGAGTCATGGTAAGGCTTAAAGGGGAAGTGTACACGCAAAAATCACTTTCTTTCTTATTTTAAACAAAATGCAATTTTAGAATAAGTTAGTATCAGTGTTTGAAAATATACACTCATTTTTGTCACAGTCAATGTAGCGAGCTCACAATAAGTGTGAAAATGTCATACTGTTATGAGGCCTTCGGTTTCCGAGCTAAACAGGCCTGAGTTATCCCCCTTAGATTATGACATAATTGTTGCCAATTTAACTGGGTCCCTGTCTTGTCACAACGCAAAAGATATCAAGTACCAGATTATGGTGAGACCTTGACTGGTCCGAAGATGTTCTCTTGACCCTTCAAGAATTCACAAAACCATACGCTTTTGAACCAAAACGAGCAAGCTTCGCGGTATGGAAACAATGAAAATCAAGTGGAAAAAAGAGAAGACCCACATCACCTGATGTGTCATCCGAACCCGACTCTACGTCTACACAATTACTGAATAAGGGCTACCAGTGACAACGTGGTAAGAATAACACTTGGATGTGTCTATACCTAAATTACCTAGATCTATATGCTCATTATTACGTTTTCAGAAGCGGAAACGTAATATTCTAAGAGATTTTTGTCACGCCTGGTGATCCGCATGCTTCGTCAGCAGGCTTATTCATCCTGTCCCGGCCTGTTACGACCCTATTGCCGGTATCGGCATTGTCGTCAATCTGATTTTGTCTGTATTAGGTGTAACTATTCCCACCACCTATAGGCTACAGATCAATGCTACTTGCCAATATCAAGAAACAAATACGATCTGTCACCAAACGTTCTCTCAACACGATTACACATTAGGCCTACCAGCTGATGACGAGACCATATGCTTAGAGTAACACGAAAATCGGGTACGTCCCAGTACGTTTCTAAAGTAGGTTGCCGAGTGGAAACGTACACGGAGAAAAAAAGATTCTCTTTGATTTTTTCCCATCCGAGTTCAAAATACCTGATTGATAAGTAACTGGATGTCGTACTTCACACTTCACACTGTCCCCATTTGAAAGTGAAAAGATAGATCACTCCATTGATGTGTTTAGTGTTTGAAACCAGTTACTGCAGTAGGCCTACAGTATCTTATTCTATTTAGCCTGCAACCTCGGGGTATGGCGGTACTTGTCATGTACGCTGAGCGGAACAAAATGCACTCACTAACCGTTATGATTATTCGTGTTCTCTGTATCAGATATCATTCATGTTATCAAACTATGCATATTTTACTGATAAAAGTTCATTATTTACATCAGTAGCTCCGAGTAAAAGCCGGGCCTCGCGCTCTGTTTGACAAGGGAGAGAACTCCATCGTATCGCGGTACAGAGAAAAGTTGTGTATTGAGGTCCGAATTGGACAAAAAGAGGACATAATTCTACCTACCACTTAGTATGATCATGCCAGATATCAGTGATTTGTCCAGACAAGTGCAAAGACAGCACAAGTAAAATTCGAAATGTGTTATCAGCAATAGGTATTCAATGCATATTTACCGAAAAGTAAGAGAAAAATATTTTTATAAGTCAACATCAAAATATCAGAAATGATATTTTAAGATTGTTTAAAAAAAATTGGATGACAATAATTTTGTCACAAAATGGAAAAACGTTAAAAGTCAACAATAAATATATAAAAAGCACTCCTAGTATGCCCTAAGTATGTATTTATCTTTTGGTTACTAGTGATACAATAGATTCTGGGCACAGAGCGGGAAAAAATGTGCGGACTACGTAACTTCCGTTACCTCATTAGTCGCCATGAATATGCAGATGATCTAGTTCAGGTCGATAGAGAAAGTTTACTTGGGGAACTGCGGGTTATATCGTTGGCCATTGATAGATGGGGGTAAGGCAATATTACAACAGATGCCAGAAATATGTATCAACGCATTAATAACTCCTTACTTACAGCAGACGGAACATTCCGAGGAAATTGAAATTGTTTACGAAGTGAGCACTTCCTGGTTACTGATTAGCATCAATAGACAGCTGCTAAGAGGCGTGTCCCGCGTGAACTACCGGAAATCACAAATGCCGCGATACGATGAATGCCGCGGTACCATGGGGTCCGAGTATTATAGATAATTGGTTATTGGTTTGTTCTGACAGCCATTCATAGAAAATGCATTGCAACTTTGCAGGGAAACTATTTATCATCTATTATGAGGCCAGATTTTTTAAAAACGTTTAGAAACTATAAAAAAGAAGAAATATCTAATATATAATTAATTATAAAAAACAGTGGGTTGTTTAACTGAGTGGACCAAATATATGTAAAATGTTTACAAAAAGCTCATTTACTGTCACAATCAATACATATAAATTATCTCAGAAACTATAAGTAAAACTTGTTGAATATTAGTGAAAAATATTTGAAATTGTAAATCTTTGTTTGGAAATTTGGACCTCCCGACCTGACCTTTTGAGCAAAACGTCTGTAACAACCACCCCCTAAAATGCAAATGAAATATGCAATCATTTTTTTATATCAGTGAGCGAGTAGGGTTTTACGCCGCTTTTAGCAATATTCCAGCAATATCACAACTGGGGGACACCAGAAATGGGCTTTACATGTTGTGCCCATGTGGGGAATCGAACTTGGGTCTTCAGGGTGACGATTGAACGCTTTCACCACAAGGCTACCCCACCACCCTTTTTTATATTAACACTTGAAATATAGTTTAGAAAACATATAATATGATTTATTTTCATCAATTTATTTTATTATGCATTTTAAGATCTATGATGCACAACAAACAAATCTGACAAGTAAAATAAATCTACAGTACCATAAATGTTTATTTGCCAGCAAGTTGTGAAAACATATGTAACTTGTAAGGTTATTAAATTACATCAGTGATATTGAAACATGCCCACAATATTTCAAGAAGTATTCAAACTTATAGTAATAAACACATCATGTCAACATGATAGAACTATAAACTGTTTTGGTATTTATTGAATTATTAACATGTAATAAAAATTATGCATATATCATCAATACAAGTTACTTCTTATATAGGCATCCCTCCAGATTGAATGACAAAAATATATACGTAAATGTTATGATATTTTTTGTAATGTTGTGTATAGCTTGACTAATAAAAGACACTTTTTCATTTCAGAATCTATCTACACCTCATAAACAAGAGGTTTACTTTGGGGATTTGCAGAAATAGTTGAAGAATCAGAGAAAAGTTATTCCATCTTGTGTTGTCGAGGTGATTCGTGAAAGATTTCCATCTGATGTATGTAATGTTTTCCTCTATGCTCATTAAAATAAACTTTTTTCATTGCAATCTTGTTTTATGGTCTCTGACAACAATCAGCTTTTGCTGTTTCATTTGATAAGTTTCTGTAAAACAGGGTGGCTGATGCTGGATGAGGTAGTTTGGGGCAAGGGCAAAGGCGGGGGAAAAGACTGAAGAAAATATCACAAGCACTGGCTAAATGCTCAGTGGCAACTTGTTAGTGCACTGGTTGACTCTTTCAAAAGTACAGCTCTCTTGTTGTCTGAAGCACATTTCCTCACAAGACATTCTAATATTTTATGACTTGTAACTCTGCATGAAAATAAACACAATTTGCACACATTGAAAAAGGATCTCAACACCAGGGATTTCTTCTGCCACCGGTGGGGCAGGATACTCTCACCTTTCGCGAACACCTGGTATTATCACTATTTGATAGCGATTCATTAACCCGTGCTCATGATTTAGTCAGAATCGTACCATCATCGACTCTGTTTTTTACAGAGATTTCATATGAAAATGGAAAGGGTTTCGTCGCATTTATACTCTTCCATATAATCATTGTGGGACCTGAAAAATATATAAATAATTTTAACATAAATTTTTCAAAATAATATGTACACTAACTAAATAATTGTTAAAGAAGGTGGTAATAATCTTCAGCAGTGTCAGGCATGTCACTGGGTGCCTGAATACAAATATCATCAGTTAACTGTGTACAAATTGTATCAGATCTAAACTTTTATATGTCATTCATAGTATACTTTCATTTGTCATCCACACTACACTTTTACAACAAAAGACAACAATATAGAATATAATAGATACACAAAATAGTTCAATACAGAAACTATTTGCATATAGTATTTACATTGTGTGATTATTTATTGTCAAAATATTATTTTGTACCTCATACTGTGAAGCATGGTGTGCCATGCTTCTGGTGTACATTGGACAGTGACTGTACACCATGATGGACTGGGGACCTGTACTTTCTGGGCATCGGTGTCTGGCATGACTTGGCTCTAAACTTCATATTTGAAAGATACAACATAGAAACATTAACACTTTTGTCATCTATATCTCACTATCACAAAATAAAAAATGGTAACTTGATTTTTTTCATGTATAAATGTGCTATAAATTGTTTATGTGTGTAAATTGCATTGAACATGAAATTTGAATATTTTAGGTGGTGGGTGGGCGATGATTTTGAATAGTGACTGGATATTTTGTCAGCTACAAACCAGCAAAACCAGATATCTTTTTAAATAAAAAATATATAAAGCATAAATAAAAAAAATAAACATGTTGCAACGATGTATTTTTGCGGCTTTTTGCTTCAACACAAAGAATTTCAATGAGTTTATATGATTTATAATTTGTTTTTCTGTGTTATTATAAAGTTTATTTATTACTGAAATGAGATGATTTGTGTTAATTCCAGACGGGAATGGCTGTAAAACTAAAACATTACGTAACACAACTTACTCCATCAACAGGAGTTTGCTGCATATTGCAACGATCAGCTGATCAGGAGTATCGACATAACCATGCAGGAAGTGAACATGTGAACGAGACAACATCACGGATATTCATGATTATCAAGTGAAACTATGTACAAATATCACCCTACCCCTGCTAAAATACATTTCTTAAATACCACTGTGGTTAGAATAAACTAAAACAGCAAACTTACCTGATTGAGTTACTTCAACTTTATGGCGTTTGTTTACAAAAGGATCCGAGTCAGGGAAACCCTCTTGATGAGAGTGCTGTCCCTTTAGCCCGTTTCCATATAAGGATCGTACACCATCCGCTTCCGATCAGTTTCAGCACAGGACCATGTAACTAATAATAGAAACAAAAACGGTCTTTGGCCTCGTCTATAAGTTTTTGGCGAGTGTTTTTTTTATTGTTATTAATAGTTACATATGGTCCTGTGGTTTCAGAACCAGCAGGTATCTAAACTCTCACGGAAGACGACAGCAGCTCAGCAAGAGCAAATATGCGCAACACAAATGAAAGAATAAGCGCAATTCATACAACAGACCCTTCCAACCATAATCGCGAATCTTACAGTATGTTATCCATGCATTGTTGTCTTCTCAGTCGCGATTTTGGAAAATGAAATAATTTTAGAGTAATTGTGCTTAGCGTTGTATCTTGGGACAGCTCGGAACCGAACAAAACAATAGGATGCGCATCTGAGAAGATAGAACCACACACCTCTACATACACCACGTGAAACGCGTCTATTAAAGTCTTCTGACGTCATTCCTTTATCAATTGGCACCAATGACGTCATATTGCAAGGGGCATATGCCATCGTGTGTTTCTTATGGAAATAGAACTCTCTGTAAATGTGAAAAATATGAACCGATTTTATGAATAAAATAAATTAGATACGTGTGATATTTTAATTGTTTTGCCTCCGAAACTACTAGGTAAATACATTTCATCATGAAAAAGTACAAGAAAAATAGGTTTATTTTCATGTGAACTTGCCCTTTAAGAACTTCCAAACGATCAGATTTAGGTAGGGCCAATTGTCTTATGATGACATGTCTGTTGGGCTTGGAACCACAGTGCTTTTGTTGATAGAAATGGTATAAAGTTCCATTAAGAAGTTCATATTCCATTGAGACTCCTACTAGGTTTCTGATTTGAGCTTCTGTATACTCACCCGGTATTTCTCCTTTTTCCTTATATGCAAAGATGTGCTTGAAATCTGGACAGCTTCTTTGCCTTGCACCAATATCAGTCTCTGTGGTGTCATATTGGATGCTGGTGGTAGCTACTACTGGAAGTTCCTTGGTGTAGTGGAATGTGATGGAGATGTGCTTTTGGGTAACTGTAGACAGCTGTGAGTTGTCTGGAGTTTCAGCATCTTGTGGATCATCTGTTTGTCGGGCAGGGGTGTAATATGAAGCCATGGCAACAGATGTGAAGGTCTTCGGTATCTGGTAGATGCTGGGTTTCTGCATATGATCTTCTTGAGAGTGCATCAGCATTCTCGTTCTTCTTTCCTGGACGGTGCTCAATGTTAAAATCATATTGCTGAAGCTTTATAGACCATCTGGCGAGTCTACCTATGCCATTGTGCTTGAAAGACTGGATATAAATAAGGGCTTTGTGATCAGTGTAGACTTTGAAGTGCTGGCTAGACAAGTAAACATGAAATAGTCTTATGCCTTCCAAGACAGCAAGCCCTTCTTGCTCGGTTATGGACCATTTTCTTTAAAAAGGATGAAGCGATCTGCCTCCATATGAAATAACCTGTTCTCTCCCAGCATCACCAAGCTGACCAAGTATGAAGCCAATTGCTTCAGATGAAGCAGCCGTGGTGAGTATGAACTGTTCATTTAACTTTGGGTATGCAAGTACTGGTGCAGAAATGAGGGCAGATTTTAAGGACTCATATGACAAGCTTCAGACCACACAAAGGTTCCATCTTTTGGCAATAATTTATTCAAAGGGGCAGCAATTTTTGAAAAGTTTTTGACAAATTTGCGATAGTAACTTGCAAGGCCTAAAAATTGTCTAATGTTTTGCTGAGTTCTAGGCTGAGGAAAAGAAACAGCATTTACCTTTTCTGGATCTGTCTGGATGCCTTTTCGAGTGAAAATGTGGCAGCAAATCTGCATTTGCTTGGTTTGAGGGTGAGGCCGGCAAGACATAACTTACTGAAGACACACCTTAAATGACCTAAATGTTCCTCAAAGGATTTGCTGAACAGGATTATGTCATCGACATATACAAGCAAATACCTCCAATTGATTTCTCTAAGTGCTTTTGAAATAGTAGATTGGAAAGGTAGCCGATTCCATTGATATACACCATCTTGACAAATGAAAGCAGATTTGTGTTTGGTTGATTTATCCAATGGAATCTGCCAGAAGCCACTAGCACAGTCGAGAACAGAGAAGTATTGTGCTTCTGCATTACCAACAGTATCAATGACGTCATCAAACCTTGGTAGAGGAAAGTACATACCTTTTGTAATGGCATTAAGCTTCCTGTAATCCACAGCAAAACGGTAGGTGCCATCTTTCTTACGCACCATGACAACAGGTGATCTCCATTCTGACTCACTGGGTTCAATAATACCAGCCTCAAGCATTTCTCACATCTGCTTTGAACACTCTTCCCTTACTTGGATAGACTGTCTATAAAATGGCATTCGCACAGGTTCTGCATCACCCGTCTTAATTTCATGACAATGCAGATCTGTTTTACCAAGTTCAGTCCAATCTTTTGCAAAGACAGAGCGTTGGGAGTGCAAGAAACACTCCAGCTGATTTTTCTGGTCTTCAGTAAGATCAGAATCAAAGAGATCAAATGAAATGTCAGACTTAGCACTAACCTTTGATGGTTGTATGTTGAAAACACCAGCTTGTTCTTTGTCATGGTCCAAGGGCTGAATGAAGGATTCATCAACATCTGACAGGGTTCCTAGCACTTTTCATCGGGGAATGTTGATTGGAGCTTCTGTGACATTCATAACAGAAGTCTTACCTGTTGTCCGTGTAAAAGGAGATTCTGTAACTGAGGGGCTGGTTCAAGAAGATAGACACACATTGGGTGTGAGGGGGAATGGAAATGGATTTGGATGATCTATCTACACCAGCATTTGTCTCTACGAGGTTAACTTGAATGAGACCTTCATGAATAAGTACAGAACGAGTAGCCAAACAGACCGTGACTTTGTTAGCATCAAGAAAATCCAAACCTGGATAAGTGAATGGTGCAAGTGAGGGAATACATGAAAGATGTGATCTATTGTTAGATTTGAAATTTTAACTGGAAGTGATATACAGCCTAGAACAGGATGGATCTCTCCTGCAACACCAATGATATTTTGATTTTTGAAGGTTTGCCAAAGAATAGCCTGCTTTCGAAAGGAATTTTTCAGAAATGCAAGAAATTTGAGCCCCTGTGTCAATGAGTCCATTGGTATGGATTTTATGGATGGAGATATGGATGGTATTTTTGAGTAATGGAGCAACAATACAAATAGAGGGGGCAATAGAACTTTGATGACTTTTGCTTGATGATTTTGGATTTTTGAGATGCTTATTATTTGGGGCTGTAGAAGGTGGAATAGCACTAATGTTTTTGCCACAGTTGTGCCTGGCCTCCTTTGAAGGACCTGGCGCATTATCCTATTGATTTAATTGATATTTGTATGTTCTACATGCTGCAGCAAAATGATGGAGTCTTTGACATTTGGTACACTGTTTACTGAAAGATTTACAACTTTTACGAGTTGGACAAGAACCTCCACATCCGTTACAGTTTCTTTGCTGTCCTCTAAAGTTGTTCTGGGACTGCCCATGTCGAGGTGTCCAGTTCTGCCGACTGCTTTGCTGAGGCATTATTTGGTTCTGCAGATGAGTGTGGAACATCTGTTGCTGAGGTTGCTGGGGGTAGGACTGCTGGGGCTGCTGCCAGGAATGAGGTTGCTGCATAGGTCCATACTGGGGTTGCTGCTGGGTCCATGGCTGGGGTTGCTGCTGGGTCCAAGACTGGAGTTGCTGCTGGGTCCAAGGCTGTAGCTGCAGTGGCTGGTGGAACGGGGTCTTAGACACAAATCTGGACTGCTCATACCTCTGTTTCAGATCATAGACGTCTTCCATCAGAGTTTTGAGAGCCCTTGTTGTCAGTGATGATTCTGGTTCAATGGGAGTTGCTGCCACAACATTGGTGTTTCTACACTCGAACTGTTCTGCAAGCCTGCCGTATTCATGGAACTATGTCAGGATTCTAGGGTCCCTATTACCTACTGTGGATTGAAGAGAGTTACGAAGTCCTGTCATAACTATTTGTAGCTGTAGGTATTCAGGTATAATTTGGCCTACAATAGATTTCTGATACCTGTCTAGATAGTCATCTACAGATTCTACTGGTGACTGTTTGATGGATAAGGATGAATTGTTAAAGTTCTTTTTAACATATCTATCCTTAATAGCCTGCAATTGGGTATCAATAGAGGTTGTCATAGAGAATGCCTTGCTATTGAACCATTCTTTAACTTTAGGGTCTAAAAGGGTTCGCAATTGCAGTTTTTGCTGCTCATCGGTGAGTTTATATATCCTAAATGCATCTTTTACACGACCTATAAATAGATCCACATTTTCGGAGCCAGTGAATTTGTCTATAACAGATGCTACACTTGCCGCCATTGTAAATGGAACATCAGGAACTTCTGGGTCTTCTTCCTGGAGGTCTGGATTGGGGTGTTCTGGTGATTTTGTTGTTGATGTTGCAGCTGGTTCTGCTGAATATCTCGGAGCTGGTCATCTTGTTGAACTTGCAGGTGGCTGTTGGGGGCCGGTTGGTCTGGGAGACTTGACTGCGAAGAGCGTAGGGGAAGATGGAAGGTGTAGCTCCTCTTAACTTGGTTGCACTCATGGAGGTACCGTTTTCTTTCCTTTCCACCAACTGAGAACGCGTGCGTGCTGTGCGCTCTCACATATATTTGGGTAACCTTAGAACATAAAGTTGAGAATATAAATCACAGAGTTGATGGCGACAGTTCCAGTATTTATTCTTGAGCAGATGTGATCTATACTGAACCAAATTAAAAACTTCACAATGCTTAAATTTGAACATTTTGACCAGTTATCATTGTGGGCCCTTATTGTGTATTTAAACAGTAATGGCCAGGTATTGTCTTCAGATAACACACGTTTTTGTGCAGGTGAATCGATCAAAATCATGTGCACAGCACTATAGTGTCAAAAGTGGTTTTTCACGTGCAACTGGTCACGTGGCCATAATGCCGCACGTGTTTTCAGCCATACTTGTTAGCAGTCATTAACAAAAAAAGAAAAACACAAGAAAACAAAAGTTTTTACGGCCATTTGTCATGCAACGCCTTTCAAATGTGCAACGTGAACGTTGCCATCGGCATGTTGCAGACGGGAACGTCCGTAGCTGAAGTTGCAAGGACGATGGGCTGTAGTCGACGGACTGTTTATGATTTACAGATGCGTCTACAGCAAACGGGTACCACCGCTGATTGCCCTCGGCCAGGTCGACCACGTGTTACGTCACATGCAGAGGATCGTCAGATTGTCTTACGTCACCTCTGTAACCGATTTTTGACGGCTACATCAACCAGAAATGTACTGTTTAGGGGTAGACTGACTGCGCAAACTGTTCAAAACCATCTGAGAACTGCTCACCTTCAAGCACGACGGCCATACTGCAGGCCGATTCTGACTCAATTACACAGAAGTCAACGTCAATTGTGGGCACAGCGACACTTACGATGAAATTGGAATCAAGTGATCTTCAGTGATGAGTCCCGATTTAATCTTCGATTTGCTGATTGTAGGGCGAGGCTGTGGAGGCGCCGTCATGAACGTTACGCCCAGTGTTGTGTACCGGAAGTTGACAGATTTCGAGGCGGAAGTGTCATGGTGTGGGGTGCTTTCTGTGGCAATGCCCGTTTCAGGCTTCTTGTCATCCATGGCAACTTCAATGCTGCTGCTTACCGCGAGTAGGTACTGGCACCAGAACTTCTGCCTTTTATGGCAGCACATGGACCCGGTTTGATCTTCCAACACGACAATGCCAGACCCCACAAAGCAATTTCGACAAGGAATTTCCTTCAGAATGCGGGAGTCAACGTCATGGACTGGCCGTCAAGGTCTCCCGACCTCAATCCCATCGAACACGTCTGGGATGCTATTGGCAGAAGTCTGCGCACTCTCCAGAACCAACCACAGAATTTGCAAGATCTTGGCACCATTTTGCAGCAACAATGGCGTCGTCTTCCCAATCATGTGTTCACAAGCATCACAAGGTCCATGCAGAGGCGTTGTGTGGCCATACACGCTACTGAACTTGTGTGCCATCAGATTCTCGTGCTTGGGACTTATGATTTAAACTGTTGATATTATTACCGAATACCGTAGGTGCTTGGAACAAATTATGGTTACCACCGTTTATTAAAATCCTTCTTTGGACATTAATTATTAAAAATTACCTTCTCTGTTACATTTGTCCGTTGTATATCATATATGGGATTACTTTTAAAAATGTGAAGTTTTTGATTTGACTCAGTATAGATACATTCAATACACAATTTCAAGTTATTACAATAATAAAGATGTACATAAGATATTATATAATATTGCAATTTAACATTTAATCAATGAATATTCTCGAGGGAATAAGCTTATAGAGTTGATAATTGATTGTTGGGGGAATTAGCATGGTAGAGTTGATAATGGCGGGAAGATGACTGGCTACAGTTGATATCATTTACGGGGCGGTCGGGTAGCCTAGTGGTTAAAGCGTTCGCTCGTCACGCCGAAGACCCGGGTTCGATTCCCGACATGGGTACAATGTGTGAAGCCCATTTCTGGTGTCCCCCGCCGTGATATTGCTGGAATATTGCTAAAAGCGGCGTAAAACCAAACTCACTCACTCACTCACTGATATCATTTACATATTACAATCAACTGGATACTGAAAGTAGAAAGGACATAATTAAACTCGAGACTAAGCACATACACTTACACAGATATACAGACTACCACCTTTGCATCTATCAAGATAATGAAAATTTATGTATATTAATAATATGGGCTGAGATATGTACACATTCAAAAAGCTGGAGGCTTATGATAGGTATTGCCCTTGGCATTTCCTTAAACTAGCCTGTTTACAATATTATTAATAATACTAACATTAACGATAAATGTGCGGTAACTCAACAATGTTGAGAGATCTGTATAATACTTTTAAAATACAATAAATCACAACAAAGTATGACATACAATTAATGATAATTGTTAGCAGTATTATAAAAATATGAACTGCATTTTATAATTAATTGCAACAACACTGAATAAAACGTTAGAAACACAAACATTCCAAATAATTACTTACATTGTACAACGACAACATAAATACATTACCTGTGCTCAGTTCAAGTGAGATAACTTCACTGCATGTTTAAACAGAGTTATTTGGTCTAACTTCTAACATTTCTAAAAAATAAGTACACAAAATAATTTGAACAAGGGAAACCAGCTTACCTTAGAACATAAAGTTGAGAATATAAATCACAGAGTTGATGGAGACAGTTCCAGTATTTATTCTTGAGCAGATGTGATACCAAAGGGGCATCTGCTTGGTTTTATATAGTTGAGAGGACGAGGAGCTGGAACTGCGCCTTTACTGTTATTGGTCCAAAACATGTAACGCCAATTTTGATTGGATAAGGATTTCTGACCTAAGGCTTGTAATGACTGACTGATTTCCCAAGTTTTACTAACCTGCTGTTTGACATTAACGATAAGAGGATTACTTTCTAAAAACAATGCACTGGTATAATGTTTGCCTTGCGTTGACGGGTATAGAATTAAAATAGCAGGGGATTATGTTTGGACAATGGGCATGTTGATTTTGTGCCTTATGGGTATGAATTTGGACGGATTATTGTTTATGTAAGTGGGATGTAAAATGAAAAAGCCTGGATAACTTTCATCAAAGTAATATTAAGTTCATATAAAACATATGGAAAGTAAATTAATTAAAATGAAAAAAAGTAGAATAATAAAGGTAGCTAATTTTAAATGTACAAGAATTTGGATATACAGGTATATAAGATTAAGTTTGGAATATTTTATTATAATATAAGCACGAGAATCTGATGGCACACAAGTTCAGTAGCGTGTATGGCCACACAACGCCTCTGCATGGACCTTGTGATGCTTGTGAACACATGATTGGGAAGACGACGCCATTGTTGCTGCAAAATGGTGCCAAGATCTTGCAAATTCTGTGGTTGGTTCTGGAGAGTGCGCAGACTTCTGCCAATAGCATCCCAGACGTGTTCGATGGGATTGAGGTCGGGAGACCTTGACGGCCAGTCCATGACGTTGACTCCCGCATTCTGAAGGAAATTCCTTGTCGAAATTGCTTTGTGGGGTCTGGCATTGTCGTGTTGGAAGATCAAACCGGGTCCATGTGCTGCCATAAAAGGCAGAAGTTCTGGTGCCAGTACCTACTCGCGGTAAGCAGCAGCATTGAAGTTGCCACTGGTATAATGTTTGCCTTGCGTTGACGGGTATAGAATTAAAATAGCAGGGGATTATGTTTGGACAATGGGCATGTTGATTTTGTGCCTTATGGGTATGAATTTGGACGGATTATTGTTTATGTAAGTGGGATGTAAAATGAAAAAGCCTGGATAACTTTCATCAAAGTAATATTAAGTTCATATAAAACATATGGAAAGTAAATTAATTAAAATGAAAAAAAGTAGAATAATAAAGGTAGCTAATTTTAAATGTACAAGAATTTGGATATACAGGTATATAAGATTAAGTTTGGAATATTTTATTATAATATAAGCTGTAGTTTTGATAAATTGTATTTAAAATAATGTAAGGACTTTTCTACGAATAGGGACAAATATGTACACGATAACAGTATGTTATCTAAACCGGCTGCCTTACCAAGCTTCGCTCTATCAATGACGAGGCGGACTTCATCCTTAGTGATTGGGCTGATTAAAAAACTGATTGTAAGTTTAGAGTTGCAAGGTCTTCAAGCTTATCTTTTACACATCTGAGGGGGGTAAAGTGGTAAACGTCTGAGACTTCGGGCTTTCCTCCCACATTAAGCTTACACGCCGTGATAAAACTGGAATACTGTTAAAAGCGGCGTTAAACCCTACTCACTCACTCATACATCTGAGATGTCCATCATCAAACACACCAGCTGTATCTTCATTATTACTGTACAGTTGCTGATAACCTTTTTCCCAGCGCTCAAGGACCTGGTCTTTGTCGGTACACACATTACCGTCGCTGTTAACCACTTCCATTGGAATAAAAGTCTTCCTATTACTAGCCGTGCACACTTTCCCCAGTTCCTTCCACAAGTCGCGTGTATTATCACATAACATACTACTCAAATTGTCTTTCTTCTAAAGCTGAAATCGTCGCTTTGCTTGTCGTAAACTTTGTTAAAACGTTTACCTTGTTCACAAAATTCGTGTTTTAGTTTTGCTTTCAATGGTGTTAGAACCCTTGAACTTCAGCCAAGTCTTTTCTTTAACGCACACTGACGTAAATATGGCATCCAAGTTTTCATTCCAATACGGTTTAGTTTTACAGCGTTGGCTTTGTTACTATGTGGACCAAGGTTAATTATCTTAAGCGGAAGTTGATCATCCATTTCATTTCTCACAAGGTCCGAGAAAATACCATAAGCCCTGTCAATATCATTTACAGATAAGGCCTGATCAATCATGTCTACTGTCGCATCAATGCGTGCAGGCGTGTCCTCTTCATTAAAAAACGTTTCAGGCACATGAGTTGATACATAGCACTTTTGTTTCTGTCTCACTACGCCAACGACTTGTTCACTGTCCGGTGTGTCAGAGTCCATCATGATTGACCACTCAAGTACACTGTGATCGGGGATCTTCTCGCAGGCTTGGAGTTGAAATTCGCGACTTAATGTTGAAGTTAAATGAACATTAAAATTATCGCAGAAAGTAAGTTGTTCTTGAGGAACGATCACATAATCCACCACCGATCTCCCCCGATGAGACACATGCGTGTAGTCTTGCATTCCAACTCTTCCATTTAACATACACATGTTATTATCAGTCATAAAGTCAATTAACAGGTCACCGTGAACGTTTTCCGTCTCATCTAACACACTTCTCGCATTCACGTGATCCACCCCCCCGCGATGAAATCGCTATTGTTTCCGCCTCGTGCATTGAAATCATCACACGGGTAGAGACGACCCATATTTTGATATTGACACACTCGCTCGTGGAAAGTCTTGAAAAACTGCTCAGAATCCTCGGGGCGCACTGACCTTTCAGGGGGCAAGTAGCATACACATACACAGAAGGTGCGTTCACTAGTCCGTGACAAAAACTTCAGCCAAAGAATATCGTCTATGGACTGATCGAGAACAGAAACATCAAATGCATTCGGAAAGTCCTTCTTTATAAAATAACCCTACCCCTCAAGATCCCCTTTTAGCATTCACATGTCTATTTGACCTATTTCTGCCATACCACAAGTACTCATTAGGACAGGGTTACACATCATCATAACTAAGAAATGTTTCACAAATTGCAAAAATATCAAAACACAGATTGGTAATAACACTAAGTCTAAAATCAGAATTGTCATTCACTTTCGTGGCGAAACCTCCCACGTTCCAAAAACCTAGTCGGGCACACCTCTTGTCTCTCTTTTTATTTTCCTGGTTGATTTTCACAATTCTCCTGCTTTCAGCTGTGAAAAGTTTGTCTTTCCCCATTTCCCTCAAAATTGTTCTCATATTTGCGTCGAACTTTCTTTTATCACTGGGAATGTCAAGTTCAATATATACTTTACTGAATTGCTTACTGTCTTTCAGTTTGAACTTATTCTTCATTACCTGTGCTCGTTGTTCGATGGACTGTAGACTTGTCACAACAACTTCTGGATATTTTCCGCGACTATCTTTCCGCGAAGCCTGAGTCACAAACACATCCTTCAGACGAAGTTCATTTCTAATAAGGCCAATAACTTTGCCTTTGGTGATAGAACTGTCTCTCTGCTCCCTGTCGTCTTCACGAAGGTTTTTGATCACAATATTACACCCACGCACATCGTCGGGTGTTCCCGCCCTTTTCACAACGTCGGCATACGACGACTGCATCTTGGATATGTTAGATGACAGTTTATCAATTTCGCTATGAAACTCGGTTCTTACTTTGCTCAGTTCGGATTCGACTGTAGATTTGAACTTTTCATCAATTATCTTTTCCAGTCTCTGTGATATTCTGCCTTCCAAACTCACTTCGAAACTTGCGATCTTTTCATTCACAGTCTTAAACACATCTCTCATCTCAGACGACATATTATGAAATAAATTCATAATATCAGAAGACTTGCAAAGTTCACTAGACGGATTATCAACGTCATTGTTCTTTTTACTCACACTGTCTGTACAAGGTGATTTGTCCGTGTCACGATAAGTGCCGTGGTCACGGTTCATGGCTAGCTGGTGTCTCCTGATGTCAATGGCTTCTGGTAGTTTTCTTTGTTGCCAGTTGTTGTTGTTGGTAGACAGGACTTTGGTGGCTTCCCACATGATGTTATGGTGTTGGTTCTTCAGGATGTGTTCGGAAATTTCAGGTCGAGTTTGTTGACAGAGGTGTGTTGTTCTTTGAGTCTGGTGTTTAGGGGTCTGAGGATTTCTCTAATGTACTGCTGGCCACAGTTGCAGGGGATCTGGTATATACATCATCGGGGGTTGGGACTAACGCTTCTTGTGCCTCTGTCATTGGCTTGTAGATGGGTCTTTGTGGATTTGTCGCTGGAAAAGGTGACATCTATGTTGGCTTTGTTCTTGATGAGGCGGGAAATGTGATGAGTGACAGGGCCTTGGTACGGTATGGTGATTCTGAAGGGCGATGGGTCAGGTTTGGGTCTGGGATCAGAGTTCTTGAGGGTCTTGCGGATGGTTTTGGAGACTAGGTGGGCAGGGTAACTGTTGAGGGACGTGAAGGTTTCCTTGAGGTGGTCCAGTTCACTGCTGAGGGCATCAGGGTGGCAAATGGATTTGGCACGTCGGATGGTGGCATGAGTTGTATTCGATGTACTGGCCTGTGTGTGTAGGCTTGTGGTGCACTGATGTTCTTAGTCCATCATCTGTGGTTTGGAGGGACTCGTCTAGGAATGGAAGGTGTTGATTGGTTTCGGTCTCCATGGTGATATGGATTCACATGCATGACAGGTGGCATGTCGCTTGGGGCGACAGTTAGCAATATTTAATTATAAATGACGGACAACGTCATAAAGACTTACAGGCCAGGCCGTGACGCTTAATTACTGGTATCTAATACAACTTCTATTGTGTGACATTAGTGTGCCAACTGTGCCAGATGATAAGGTCGTACTTTAATCATTATATTCTAACTTTGTATTAAGTTTCTTTATGCTTACAGGGTGTAGAAATCTGTTTGCAAATTGTTAATATATATATATATATATATATATATATATATATATATATATATATATATATATATACACACACACACACACACACACACACACATATATATATATATATACATACATACATATATATATATATATATATTAAAAGTAGCTGTATGACAGTAATATGGCTTATTACCTTATTGAATCTTGGTGCAAAGCAAAACAGAATAAAGTTATTGTTAAATTGAATAGTATGTGGAAAAATATTGTTATGGAATGTTCGAACTCTGTCCACAATTCTCTAACATGTTGGCATTCCATAAATACATGTATTTGCGATTTATTTTCGACTTCACAGACAGAAGATTCACTAATGTCAACAAAATGCATTGCCAGTAATTCCTTCTTGGTATATACTATTCTGTATACACATTCATACTGGAAATCTAAAAGTTGGTATTTTTAATGCATTTCCTCTATTGTAGAAATATTTCGTTCCATGAAATATCGTCCATTTCTTTACACGTTGTCGCCATTCTAAACAAACAATGGGTAAGTTTTCCGTTGCAATAAATGTATCATAAAAAAATCCTAGCGCCCATTGAAAGTTTGTATAATAGTTAGAAGAATATCTCTTAATCCATAAGAGGGAATTTAAGCAGAATTTATTACATTTTCTCTCCATCCTTCCGGTATGTTCTGTAACATCCTACTTCAGTATAAGAAGGTGCCTTTAATGTTGTGTTTTATTTCCAGAGATTTGAAGTTCATGAGTGATTGATCTGGGCTTGTGTCTTTTATGGCCTTGTTCAATGTGACACGGAACATAATCTTTTCATTCGAAATACATCATTACACCAGTACATATTGAATAAATGCATTAATTGTCATTTTAACTTTTTCATGCCCGTTTTGGCTTTACTCCAATGGCCATTTTGACACATGGCCGATTTGGCCAGTACCACACTGTTCTTCTTTCGTTTTCTTTAGACTTCATCTTTTAGTGACAGCCAATTCAACTTTTGCACCCAACAGGGAAGCGTCCGACCGTCATGGCGTACCAATCTGTCTTATGCTACTTGTTCGGCTCACTTATTCGATTGTGGTTATTTCGAACGTCTTTTCCGAAGTGGTTGTCGTCGCGAAATGAAGTTGTTACACCTCTTACATCGTGGGAGAGAGGTACACCAAATGTCATTCATTTCACTTATATATACCAGAAACCATCGATACAGGGTCTCTGAGTATACGGTTACGTGCATTGTTTTCAAGAATAGTGAAACATCATTAGCCCATGTCCTTGCTGTTGCGGACATGTTTATCAGGAGGATAAAAGAAGGATATCATGATGTATCATGTAGCCAGGTTTTCTCTGTTCTAGTGGTACTAGAAAGTCGTGCATGCAGTCACACCTAATAAAGATATCTTACTTGACCAAGAGATTAATGTGAACATTTGTAACTGCAAATAAATAATTTATTTCCCCTTGACAAACATCGATGTCGATGATTCAGGGGAGAGGTATTCATATTCTTGCAGCAATTAAAAAATGTAATCACAAAATTGCAAAGTGAACTGTTCAAGAAATATCCATTTTGCTAGTGATAAACATCATCATTGAGTTTTCATCTTTTGGTTACAATCCGGGCATGCATTGACAGGTTACTATGAGCATTTTATTTAGCAGTGCTTGCATCACAAACTAGCAAGGTGTAAGTAATATTCATTATTGCTGGATTGGCTTGTTTTCACTTTGTAAGTTTTCGCAAATGTGCAGCTATCTTTGTTAATTAATATTCTCTATTCGTGGCGAGGGTTATGACCTAACACCAACAAAAGGGAGATGACTTTCATAACAGTACTCCTTTGAGTCATAGTGTCAGTGAGTGTCTTCATGTGTCCTGTTTATCAGCAGATCAGATACAAAATGAGTTCTAATATTGATATTGTTTCAGTTCAGGAAGGAATGGCTTTACAAGAAACTTATATTTCGCCATACGCAGGAGATATTTTTCACGAGGTAAGTACACAATAGCGTTTTCAACTCAAACCATTTTTATGGTATCTTAAAGGGGCACTGATCGAAAACAATTCCTGGGACTGGTTGCTGCCTTTGTTATTGTTTTTCCTGTGAGTACCTAGATGATATAGCAGAAATGTAGACTAGTTCGCGACCTAGCTGTGCTGCACCATTGGTAAGCACATTTGTCACTTTTATTGATAGTATAAGGGCGTATGGTCACTTTGATCAGTAATGGTGACGGTGTTTTGATAAGTCACTCGCTTGGAAATTGTGCAATTTTCATTTACACTTATATTTAAATATATAAAAATAAAATAAGTAAATATTTCACCTGCGCATTGCTTATTTTAACGTGTTTATATTTTTACAGTCAAAATGTGCAAAAAATTTACATAGGAAAATTATTAAATGCCTAATTATTCAGTTATTTTACAAATTGACTGAAAAATGTGTCCATCTGTATTATTATGATGGCGAATTCCAAACATTTTTGTGTTTAATATCATCACCTAGTGACTGAAAATGTTTGGCTTAAAAGTTCATTTCTATAGTGTTTGGCTTCTAATCAAGATCCGGGGTAGAATAGATTTTCAGCAACCCATGCTTGCCGTAAAAGGCGACTATGCTTGTCTTAAGAGGCGACTAACGGGATCGGGTGGTCAGACTCGATGACTTGGTTGATGCATGTGCCAAAAGTGAGGTATTTAAAAAAAAAAGTAACCTCAGGGATTTGTTTACTTGAATTTTGTCCTAAAAAGTTAGGTAGGTATAAAAAAAAACGTTCTGGAGTAACAAAAGTAAAACAACTCAATTTTTCAAGAACATTTCATCATATCCCTGACACTCAGCTTGTGCAGAAATGGCAATATAACAACATTTATTGGTGGAAATGCATGAAAGACGCCGCTATTTTGGCAGCATGAGCATTGTTTAACTCTTTCAACACCAGCCAACCAGAAGATTACTGCTGTTACACCAAGTTCCCAGAGACTCTTGTGTGATAGATGAAGCCAACATTTATCAAGGAAATTATCTGCTTGTAAAACATCTTTGCTACTAGATCTACATGTTTGGCTATACACTATTGGAAAGGTCTAATTAATCCTATTGTTTATAAATATGAAAATTATGTGTATTACATTATTTAAATAATTCATTAACAACTTAATTAAGTTTGTTTTAGATTAAAATAATGTAAGCTAAAACATTCATAACATCCAGATTAAGGATCAATGAAGCGAGAATTTCACGATTTTCGGCAAATATAAGATTTACTTAAATCCACTTACCTATTTCTATATTTTCATTTGTTTAGGTAGTTGGAACGTTATTTCAAAAAGAATTACAAACAATATCTGTCATCACCCATTTCCCGATGATAGTGGCTGTCCGCTCACAAACACGAAGAAATACCTCCGTTTTTGAAGCTTTGTATGAATAACACGTATGTCGGAGGCTGCCATGCCAGTTTACAATACATTAAAAAACTTATATTGTTTCACTGACATAATTTGCAGCAAGGTTCGTTATTGGTCAAAATTGCGAGTAAGATTGTACGAAGTCTTCACGTCTGGTCCATTTACAGAGAACACTGAATACCAAAGGCTACTCGGCCAGAGCGGCTAAGGCCATCACGATGGCACATCGCCCAACCACCAGGAGCCTCAATGATGACAAGTGGCAAACCTTCGAGATCTTTTGCAGAAGTAAGCACCAAGACCCCACATCTGCATTGCCTCAATTCCTGGCCGAGTTCATGCTCCATCTACTTACCAAACGTAAACTCAAGGGCAGAACCATCATGACCTACCTTGTGCCGCTCAACTCCATCCTGGTAGTTCCGAAAGATCGATGCATGACGATAATCCCGTAACTCCAGGCACTGCTCCACTCATTCAGACTGGAAGACCAAAAGGCGAAGTTCCGTCCCCCAGCTTGGGACTTGAACGTCATTCTCACCTCGTTCTCACCTCGAAACGTCGAAACGTCGTGATTCTACATTCTGACGAAAAAAGACGATCTTCCTAATGGCGCTCGCCACTGCAGCCTCTGTTGGTGAGCTACACGCCCTAGACGTCACACGGGTCCGCTTTGAGCAGGGAGCACATGGAGCCGTGCATCTGGGCCTGTGCTTGGACTTCATTGCAAACAATCAGCTCCCAGGCCAGCCCGATAGATCGTTCCTCATCTCCCCCACCTTCGATTGTGGGCACGGAAGATGAACTAGAGCTCCGTCTATGTCCGATTAGAGCGCTTCATTGCTACATCCGACGATCCAAAGAACGCCGTAGACAACGACGACTCCTCTTTATACTGGTATCTGCGACCTAGCAAGCGGAAGTCAGCCGCAACACGATCGCCCTCTGGCTGAGAGCCATCATCCTCCAGGCCTATGAGGCCGCAGGATTGGAACCCCCACGCTCTTACAACCCACATGAGATCCGGGCAGTTGCTTCTACCATGGCGCTACACAGCAACTGTTCTCTACGTGCCATCATGGAGGGATGTTTCTGACGATCCAACATGGTCTTCGCCAGTCACTACCTGCGAGACGTTGCATTAGAGGATGTGCAATACACGCACAGCTTTGGTCTGTTAGTAGTGGCCCAGCAGGTCACCACTACTACACGTCATTGACCACGCCTCCAAGTCAGGAGCCTGCCTTTCGACCTCCCCTGGCGTGAGCCCTGGAATTGAAGGTTCATACCTCATTTGCATACGGCTCGGTGCTCCAAGAATTTACTAGGGAACAGAGTCTTGAAATAAAAGATGAAAGTCCACATCTGAAGGTATGCCTGCCTCTGGTTCCATCCGATAAAGATGCATTAAGGAGTAATGCAGGATAAGTAAAAAATCTAGTAAAATCCTAGATATTTTTTATATCTGTATACTTATCCTGCATTACTGCATCTAAAGGGACCCACCCATCGCAGATCTACCTCCCCACGATGCCTTCCGATGTTTCGGACTCCAGAGTACTGTGAGGATCCGTTACGTCACTTCCTTTGGTCACGTGGGAGCTGCGTGATGGGCTGGCCTCTCAGCTAGTTGGAGCAACTTCTTCAAGCAAAGACTTTCACACAGCTCTTTTCTCTGTCAAGAACAAGCAGTAATATGCATTATGGAGTAATGCCGGATAAGTATACAAATATAAAAAATATCTAGGATTTTACTAGTATCTCCTGCCACGAATTGGAAGGCGATATAGGAATGGGTTCTGTCCTTCTGTTCATCCCATTTCGTTTCAGGAGCAGAACTCAAACACCATGAGATATATTTTAACCAAACCTGCCACAGAGATAGATCTAGTGGTGAACTGGTGCCGTTTGATAGTTTGGGATTTTTTATTGATGAATTTTTCGAGTTTCAATGACAACGACTTTGACTGAGACTGAAAATGACGGCAGTGCTCCTTTCCAGAGCAGATCTTGAAAACAGTACTATATTTCTTCATACAAATGCAAACAGAGTGATTTTTCTGCTTATTTGGATCTTTATCCCCCTATTTTTCAAATATTGATGAAGTTGCATGCAGCTTTATCAATACCAAAAGACAAAAATGGCAGATAGGTGTCCTGTAAAGTCGATGTGTACCAGATGTGATGTAATTGCTGAAATATTGATTGCCCGTGGGACTTGAAACGTTATACAATTTTTAAAATGTGTGAAGCTGTGGGATTGAAATGCTTCATTGAGCTACATGATGGACCTACTTTTCTAACGATATAATAGATTAGATTTTTAAGTAGGCGCACATTGGACACTTGAAAGAAGCTGCTGGCTTGACCTTTGAAGCATATCAACTTAGGCTGGTAAATGTTACCCAATACATACCACTTCATCATGTCTACATTGTTGGAAACATTCTTCCTACATGCAATTATCCGCTAACTACTGCAGTAAGTGTGAGGTGTGTTTTATTTGCAGACACCCCTCCTCCTGAGGCTGCTCCAGTATGTGGCCAAGGTACCACAGATGACAGACATTCTCTTTGTTGTGAGTTGAAACAAAACTTTTGCATTAACAACTGTTATTTGCACTCTCAACAGCATAGTTATTTTATCAAAAATGAATTTGCAGGAACAAATAACTTTTCAGAACTAATCAAGTCTTTTGATTGATCGTTGGCTTTACTAACAATGTTTTGTCAAAGTGATGATGCTTTTGCTCCATTGTGATGGAAACAGGTGTATGTACATGATGTAGTGTTTATTTATGTAATTGCAGTTCATGGATGTACTCATTGGTATGGTTCTGTCCAGAATTGCTATGGAATTTGGACGATACATGGTAAGATTGTTACTTCAACTGTGGCTGTCTATGAATTGCATCACCTATGGGCTTTCTTTCCTCATTAAGCTGATACTAACTGTGGTAACCGTATCTTTGTGCTTCTCCCTATTTAAACGGTTTCGATATTGACTTGTTGCTACACAGAATTGTTTATATAGCTAAATCAAGCCTTGTATGGTTACCGCAGCTAAGCTGACACCATTTGATATACCTGACAAACTTTTCAGGCAGCAATTAAATCACATAACTCATTCCATCACATTTATGAACTGAAACAATACTCTCATGCATCGTGTGTCTTGCATTGTCCGTTGGATGTCATAAACATCTTCTCTTGAGAAACCACTGGACCAGTGAAATTGAAACTGGTCATTCTTGTTTAACACCAGTGATAACACCCCAATTCATTCAAGAAGTAAATGAATCAGATTTTCAATATGACCGCCATTGCTGCCGTATTGTAAAAATATTTATGGCCATTACATAGCCATTTATTGTCCAAGTGGAATATAATAAGATGTGCTTAATTAACACTGGGGCTCAAGACATGTGTTCTGTCTTTTCCTATGTTTTAAATTTGTACCTTTATTTGACCTGTTCACTTTGTCCATGCTACTGACTGTAAACATAATCTCTTCAGAAACCACTGGACCAATGAAGCTGAAACTTCACAATCACATGCTTCTTCCCAACAATGATAACACCCCAATTTGTTTAAGAGGTTTGAAACAGATCTGATACAGCAGCCATATTGAGAAAATGTAATGGCACTTCTCTGTCATTTTGGTTCAGAATACAATGTTTCACCACCTATGTTCCAGTGTTTGCAATATTTTCAATGTTGTTCATGGCTATGACACTGCTTTTTGACTATGGCAAAGAAGTATTTTTGGCTCTGAATATTTCTCCCATTAAATTGCTGGCTTAAGAGATGTATGTTTGGTGATATATCTTGTTGACATCAATAAATTCTTGTGCTAGTTTTTAGTCCTCAGGCTTTATGGTCAACTTCATGTCACAATGGCTATACAGATGTAGTGCTGCATGTCACAATGGACATACAGATGTAGCACAACATGTCACAATGGACATACAGATGTAGTGCTTCATGTCACAATGGACATACAGATGTAGCACAACATGTCACAAGGGACATACAGATGTAGTGCTGCATGTTACAATGGACATACAGATGTAGTGCTGCATGTCACAATGGACATACAGATGTAGTGCTGCATGTCACAATTGCTTTACAGATGTAGTGCAACATGTCACAGTGGACATACAGATGTAGTGCTGCATGTCACAATGGACATACAGATGAAGTGCTGCATGTCACAATTGCTTAACAGATGTAGTGCAACATGTCACAGTGGACATACAGATGTAGTGCTGCATGTCACAATGGACATACAGATGTAGTGCTGCATGTCACAATGGACATACAGATGTAGTGCTGCATGTCACAATGGACATACAGATGTAGTGCAGCATGTCACACTGTCTATACAGATGTAGTGCTGCATGTCACAATGGACATACAGATGTAGTGCTGCATGTCACAATGGACATACAGATGTAGTGCTGCATGTCACAATGGACATACAGATGTAGTGCTGCATGTCACAATTGCTTTTCAGATGTAGTGCAACATGTCACAATGGCTATACAGATGTAGTGCAACATGTCACAATTGCTTTACAGATGTAGTGCAACATGTCACAATGGCTATACAGATGTAGTGCTGCATGTCACAATTGCTTTACAGATGTAGTGCAACATGTCACAATTGCTTTACAGATGTAGTGCTGCATGTCACAATGGACATACAGATGTAGTGCTGCATGTCACAATGGCTATACAGATATAGTGCAACATGTCACAATGGCTATACAGATGTAGTGCTACATGTCACAATGGACATACAGATGTAGTGCTGCATGTCACAATGGCTATACAGATGTAGTACAACATGTCACAATTGACATACAGATGTAGCGCAACATGTCAATGGACATACAGATGTAGTGCAACGTGTCACAATGGACATACAAATGTAGCGCAACATGTAACAATGGACATACAGATGTAGTGCTTCATGTCACAATTGACATACAGATGTAGTGCAACATGTCACAATAGACATACAGATGTAGTGCAACGTGTCACAATGGCTATACAGATGTAGTGCTGCATGTCACAATGGACATACAGATGTAGCGCTACATGTCACAATAGACATACAGATGCAGTGCAACATGTCACAATGGACATACAGATGTAGTGCTGCATGTCACACTGTCTATACAGATGTAGTGCTGCATGTCACAATGGACATACAGATGTAGTGCTGCATGTCACAATGGACATACAGATGTAGTGCTGCATGTCACAATGGACATACAGATGTAGTGCTGCATGTCACAATTGCTTTACAGATGTAGTGCAACATGTCACAATGGCTATACAGATGTAGTGCTGCATGTCACAATTGCTTTACAGATGTAGTGCAACATGTCACAATTGCTTTACAGATGTAGTGCTGCATGTCACAATGGACATACAGATGTAGTGCTGCATGTCACAATGGCTATACAGATGTAGTGCAACATGTCACAATGGCTATAGAGATGTAGTGCTACATGTGACAATGGACATACAGATGTAGTGCTGCATGTCACAATGGCTATACAGATGTAGTACAACATGTCACAATTGACATACAGATGTAGCGCAACATGTCAATGGACATACAGATGTAGTGCAACGTGTCACAATGGACATACAAATGTAGCGCAACATGTAACAATGGACATACAGATGTAGTGCTTCATGTCACAATTGACATACAGATGTAGTGCAACATGTCACAATAGACATACAGATGTAGTGCAACGTGTCACAATGGCTATACAGATGTAGTGCTGCATGTCACAATGGACATACAGATGTAGCGCTACATGTCACAATAGACATACAGATGCAGTGCAGCATGTCACAATGGACATACAGATGTAGTGCTGCATGTCACACTGTCTATACAGATGTAGTGCTGCATGTCACAATGGACATACAGATGTAGTGCTGCATGTCACAATGGACATACAGATGTAGTGCTGCATGTCACAATGGACATACAGATGTAGTGCTGCATGTCACAATTGCTTTACAGATGTAGTGCAACATGTCACAATGGCTATACAGATGTAGTGCTGCATGTCACAATTGCTTTACAGATGTAGTGCAACATGTCACAATTGCTTTACAGATGTAGTGCTGCATGTCACAATGGACATACAGATGTAGTGCTGCATGTCACAATGGCTATACAGATGTAGTGCAACATGTCACAATGGCTATAGAGATGTAGTGCTACATGTCACAATGGACATACAGATGTAGTGCTGCATGTCACAATGGCTATACAGATGTAGTACAACATGTCACAATTGACATACAGATGTAGCGCAACATGTCACAATTGACATACAGATGTAGTGCAACATGTCACAATGGACATACAAATGTAGCGCAACATGTAACAATGGACATACAGATGTAGTGCTTCATGTCACAATGGACATACAGATGTAGTGCAACATGTCACAATAGACATACAGATGTAGTGCAACGTGTCACAATGGCTATACAGATGTAGTGCTGCATGTCACAATGGACATACAGATGTAGCGCTACATGTCACAATAGACATACAGATGCAGTGCAACATGTCACAATGGACATACAGATGTAGTGCAACATGTCACAATGGACATACAGATGTGGTGCTACATGTCACAATGGCTATACAGATGTAGCGCTACATGTCACAATGGCTATACAGATGTAGTGCAACATGTCACAATGGCTATACAGATGTAGTGCTACATGTCACAATGGACATACAGATGTAGCGTAACATGTCACAATGGCTATACAGATGTAGCGCAACATGTCACAATGGACATACAGATGTAGCGCAACATGTCACAATGGACATACAGATGTAGCGCTACATGTCACAATAGACATACAGATGTAGTGCATCGTGTCACAATGGCTATACAGATGTAGTGCTGCATGTCACAATGGACATACAGATGTAGCGCCACATGTCACAATAGACATACAGATGCAGTGCAACATGTCACAATGGACATACAGATGTAGTGCTGCATGTCACACTGTCTATACAGATGTAGTGCTGCATGTCACAATGGACATACAGATGTAGTGCTGCATGTCACAATGGACATACAGATGTAGTGCTGCATGTCACAATGGACATACAGATGTAGTGCTGCATGTCACAATTGCTTTACAGATGTAGTGCAACATGTCACAATGGCTATACAGATGTAGTGCAACATGTCACAATTGCTTTACAGATGTAGTGCAACATGTCACAATGGCTATACAGATGTAGTGCTGCATGTCACAATTGCTTTACAGATGTAGTGCAACATGTCACAATTGCTTTACAGATGTAGTGCTGCATGTCACAATGGACATACAGATGTAGTGCTGCATGTCACAATGGCTATACAGATGTAGTGCAACATGTCACAATGGCTATAGAGATGTAGTGCTACATGTCACAATGGACATACAGATGTAGTGCTGCATGTCACAATGGCTATACAGATGTAGTACAACATGTCACAATTGACATACAGATGTAGCGCAACATGTAACAATGGACATACAGATGTAGTGCTTCATGTCACAATGGACATACAGATGTAGTGCAAGATGTCACAATAGACATACAGATGTAGTGCAACGTGTCACAATGGCTATACAGATGTAGTGCTGCATGTCACAATGGCTATACAGATGTAGCGCTACATGTCACAATGGCTATACAGATGTAGTGCAACATGTCACAATGGCTATACAGATGTAGTGCTACATGTCACAATGGACATACAGATGTAGCGTAACATGTCACAATGGCTATACAGATGTAGCGCAACATGTCACAATGGACATACAGATGTAGCGCAACATGTCACAATGGACATACAGAAGTAGCGCAACATGTCACAATGGCTATACAGATGTAGTGCTACATGTCACAATGGCTATACAGATGTAGTGCTACATGTCACATTGGACAAACAGATGTAATGCTACATGTCACACTGTCTATACAGATGTAGTGCTACATGTCACAATGGACATACAGATGTAGTGCTTCATGTGACAATGGCTATACAGATGTGGCGCAACATGTCACAATGGCTATACAGATGTAGTGCTACATGTCACACTGTCTATACAGATGTAGTGCAACATGTCACACTGTCTATACAGATGTAGTGCTACTTGTCACAATGGACATACAGTTTAGTGCTACATGTCACACTGTCTATACAGATGTAGTGCCACATGTCACACTGTCTATACAGATGTAGTGCTACATGTGACACTGGCTATACAGATGTAGCGCAACATGTCACACTGTCTATATACAGATGTAGTGCTACATGTGACAATGGCTATACAGATGTATCGCAACATGTTACAATGGCTACACGGATGTAGTGCTACATGTGACAATGGCTATACAGATGTAGCGCAACATGTCACAATGGCTATAAAGTTTTAGTGCTACATGTCACAATGGCTATACAGATGTAGTGCTACATGTCACTGTCTATACAGATGTAGTTCTTCGTGTCACACTGGCTGGACAGGTGTAGTGCTACATGTCACACTATCTACACGGATGTAGTGCTACATGTCACACTGGCTAGACAGTAGTAGTTCTTCATGTCACACTGGCGTCATCGTATCCCATTTGTGTGGATCGATGCTCATGTTGTCAATCACTGGATTGTCTGGTCAAGACTCGATTATTTACAGACTGCCGTCATATAGCTTGAATATTGCTTGGTGCGGAGTTAAACAACAAACACCAACAAACCATGTCATGCTAGACCTCCTACTTCAGCTGGAGAGACAAGCCCAGGGGGTATCCAGATATGCAGCAAATGTTGAGAAGCTAGTTCTTCGAGGCAGTGATCTCAAGTGGCTGCAGACGTATGTTATTGTGGTGTGAGTATGTTTCCCTGTTAGAAGTTGAATCTTGCCAGTTGTTAATCCATAGATATGGTGATGGTAGGGGTTACAGAGTACTTTAATCTGGTGTCACATTGTGTCGGCATGCATTTGACCAAACCCATGTTACTGGTATCACACTGCAAATGCCTTGTTGTATGTTATAATTTCTGCAGCCTTTTATAGAAATGAGTGATTTTTATATGATAACTGATATAATAAAATGATAAACACTGAAAGTGTTGTGAATATTTTGGTATGTTTAAAAGTCTTATTTTATAACTTATTGCTCCACAATACTATGTGTAAAAAGTGTGGAGCAATGTAGAACATCCACCTCACTCCGTGCATGCTCGCAAGTTACTCATCATCTTTACCTTCATCGCCCAAAGTGACAGGACATGTCAGGACGTGTCATCTACGCTCTTGAATTACAATTGGATTTAGACTTGTTTATCATTTGGGTTTTCTTACTCAGTGATTTATTGTTCTCAGAAACAATTACGTATGGTTTTCTGGACGTATTTTATAAAAAAAAATGTCTGTCCAACTTTTCTTATTTGTTGTTCATTTCATTCTGTAATATGTGTCTTTCCATACCACGATTGCAGTGCCTATTTGTGTCCTTGCAAACATTCATTTCTGATGTAAATGTGCGTTTCTTGTTCACATAGGGTTTTTCCCACCATTTTTCAACTGCTTCGCATGAACTTATTTCCGTGTTGGCAGTAATACTCATTGGTAACACCTCCCTTACCAATCGGGTTATCATGTGTTTGCCTTAATGTTCGTGGGTTTCCTTCATATTTCTTTCTCATAATGTCGTAGATTTGAGAAACAATGGACAACACTGTCTTCACAGAACTTGGTCAGGCGTTGACAGCCTTACACTCCCACCAGTCTGTGAAATGCATGGTTAAGAAGTCTTTGCCCTCCCTGACTGGGTTCCCTGTTCCATGGATCCATTGTCTAGACCGCTTACAAGCGAGCACCTCTTCTAAGTGGCCCAACTTCTAGGGATTAATCGCCTCCTTCTTTGTTTTTCAGTGTGCTCTGGCACCACTACAGCGCCTATCACTATCATCACCTGCACTTCCTCAGGAATGACATTGGCTTGGCTCTTCATATCTGCCACAGATGCTTGCTGGCTGGTTCTGAATCACGCTCAGTCTTCCAGTTCGGTGTCTTCTGGCATCGCCTCACCTGGCACAGCCTTATCTCCGGGCACTGCAGCACCTGGCACCGCTTCTCCAAGCACTGCCTCTTCAGACGTTGCAACTGTCTTCGTGGTGTAGTAGTAGTGCATCTGCCCCAGAAAGTGGAAGGTCTGGGGTTTGATCCCCAGTCTTGTTATACCAAAAGATGTTGTTTCCCTGCCTCACCAGGGTTTGGCTTTTCCTGCAGTGTCAGGGTTATCAGCCATGGATGATGGGCTGCCACCCTGTGGACCAACAACCTATGTCATGAAGCCTTATGCTTGGTATAAGGTGTCACCTCTTCCTTCATCATATCCGCTTCAAGCGCCACATCTTCAGGCACTGCCTCATCAGGTGTCACCTTCCCATGCATTGTTGCAGCAAGCACTGCCTCAAGATTCCACAATCAGCCCCACTCCTCGGTTGCTGAGTACAGGGGTGTAGGAAAGCACTCTGGCAATCGGTGTGGCCGACAGTGACGCTCCTCCATTAGTTGGTGACTGGACTCTACAGCCACTTGTCATACTGTTGGCAGCAGTCTCTAATTCCTAAGACAGAACTGGGAAGAACTGTTCTATGAAACTGGGTCCAAACCCTCTTTTCTTTGCCCAACAACTAGTCTCACCTCAGCAACACCAATTGACCAGGTGGGAATGGAGTGACTGCCATCAAGGACGTCCATTACTCCTGCATGTTTTGTCCTTCTTTATACTAAATGATTGCCTTAACTCAGTACCAAGGGTATTTTGTATCATGAGGGCAACCATGGTTCCCGATCCTTTGAGTACCTCATGTCTTTATGGACTCAGCCTAGCAAAGCTAGGTGTTGACGTATTACGGGACAAGTGAAGTTGAACACACCCAGTGCTTGAAGACAAAGTGGCAGTCTAAGCCTACTGTTGGGTAATTGGATAATGTTGTGTAGGAAAAAGTTAATAAATTTTTAAACTTATCCTATCTCACACTATGCATTTCTTCTTATTCTTCGATCTTGGTGTGGAAACCGTCCTAGAACAAAGTTTTCCAGTTTCAAAAACACCACTCACCCAAACACATCCCATATATCACAAAATCACCACTGTGATCATGGTTCACGCACCACTAAAATCCTGTGTGTCACGGCTCCAGCGACCTGATTACCTGACATATCCAGCACCCTCATTCTCAATTCTAATTATACTTGAACAGAGAATTTTTGTTTAGTTTTTTTTATTCATAAAATTTAAATACCCGACTTCACTACTAAAGTTTACCATTACCACGAAGAGTGTGTGGTATTAATAACAATGTCTACTGTGTACCACCTTGTCAGAATTGGATCTCAACTTACTTAGCTAAGTGTTCGATAAAGGGGACTGTTCGTTGCTTCAAGGCGTTTAGGGTTTTCGTGCATGTTGTTTTTTCCTCCGCTTTGAAAGCCAAACGATTGTGTTATCCCCAGTGGCTGTACCTTCGTTTTTCTTGCTTAACAAGATATTAGTCAATTCGGCGATGGTGACATTGCTGTCCTTTGAGGAGGATCGCTTGCTGTCTCGTTTGACTGCTGCGATTCCTGCCTCTGTGCAGACCACGCCCCTGTGCATGTGTCTGCTCCCTTGCTTCTACAGTCATCTCGCTTTTAAATGGCCAGTGCACGGTTCTGTCGTCTGTATCCCTTCACCTAGACTAACTTTTGATCTATGAAATCTTATTAAACAAATAATTTCCCGATGCCGATACCGAGGGATCTCCACTCTACGATACACATTGATGCAGCAACACATCGATAAATCGATACATCGACACATCATCTGTTCAAGAACTCGTCCGCTAGTACGACTTTACCTGCAGGAAGCATCGGTGGCTAAGTGGGTAAGATAGCTGGCTTTGTGTGCTGGCGATTAGGTCCCTTACTCTGGCAGTGTGGGTTCGGATCGTCCTCAGTCATAAGATCGTCATTCTTCCACGGAATCAATAGACCTCTCTCTCATCGTGCATTGTACTTCTATACGCGAACTTGGACAAGGCCTTCGCTGCATTCCGTTGTCTATATTAGACAATCCAGTGATTGTCATTATGAGCATCTGTCTACGTCTTGGGATACGATGACCTGCACCAACCATATCAGCAAACATGACCAGGCATAGTCACCTCTTATGGCGAGTTTGAGATACTGACGTCTCTTCTCTACCAGGATCTTCATGTATACGGTCCACGTGCCTGCCAGCCATGAATTGTCTTACGATACTCTCCTATGATATATCACTATTGCAAGCTTATGACGCTCGAGACAGCGCACTCCCCCTATTCAGAATCGTCAAACAGACATCGCAGCCGATCTTTATCATCGACACCTTCGATTTTAGCCTGATATTCCATTACAGGTTATGATTCTTGAGACAACACGCTACCCCTTTTCAGCTTTGAATTGTCAAACAGACGGCATCATCCTGAGGCTTGATGTCATCGCAGCCGACCTTTATCATTCACGCCCTCGAATTCAGCCTGATATTCCATATTAGTTGGCATGTCTTATCCGCCCTTGCCTTGGTCAACCTACACCATTCTAACAGACGATTCGACAGGGGAGTTCGTCGGTCTTTCATCGTTACAAACGGCAGATGTTCGATGTCTGAAGATGGATTCTAGCATCATATGGGGCTCACCCAGGTACTACACCAGTTTCGTCTCATATTCTACAAGGAACGGACTGCCTATACACCAGTGTTTTTCGTTACTCTGGACAACGCTTGTGTGTTGGGAGCTTTTGACCACGTGATCAGAAAGACTGTTGTATTTCCTGTTCTGTGCAAAGGGTTGCTGTTTGTAAACAAGATTATCATGCTAACTTTATTACAGGCTGATCTCATGCGAGCCGTGTGAAGCATTTACAGTAGTAGTCAATGACTATACGTGCGGTGTGTCACATCTTCACAACTCCGTTTGTCGTCGCATTGATACCGGAATGCACTGTGCTTTTTCTGGTGCCTTGGCGATGGAATCCATCGTCTCTTCACCAGTCCGACGCGTTGCCGATCAACCTTGCAGGGCAAGTCATCCCTCACTTATTCAAGATGAGAGTTGGTGAATATCAACATTTTGTTTCGGTATATGATCATGTTCTCCACGTCCTTTTAAGGCACGGTTTCTGTTACTACCGCTCTTCCATGTGGTCCCGATTACTCTGCTTCGTACGATCAGCCAACTGGTAAACAACACCTTCAGCCTCATTTTTCTACTAGATACTAGATCACATGCACGACCGTCAAGATTTTATCATCGCTTTAGGCCAATTTTTTTTGTGTTATGTGTGCTTGAACGTCGATCTGCAGGCGAACTCATCTCCACATCAACAACTCGGAAGTTCAATGTTATACGTATGGTAATAGCTATTACACTTCGGACGACCTCTCCGCTACGCTACCCTATTCCAACCGTCACCAGTCAACAGACCACAACTGGAAGGATAACCACCCTTCTTGTCACTGGTGATACACTACCCTTTGGAATTGCCTCGACCCATGGCTATGTACACGAACTACTAAACCAATTGCTGTCAGTCACACTGGAATCCGTAATACATTTTACCTGGACGAAGGGATTCAAGCCCGGATATCAACAATTACTCGGACTACAATTTTTACGAGGAAATTATTACTTCAACTGCTTTGGTTGATAAATTATCAGAAGTACGACTTACAACCATTCCAGAATCTCAATTCCTTGGGATCAAGTCTTATGAGGCAGACTAATATCCTAGTACCAGAACACATTGAGGAAACACCTCTTGTGAAGGTCAGTGGAATCTATTGTTTGCGCAGGAACTTGTTTACACAAGCCGGTATACAACAACCACCTGTTCATGGATGCTTCATTTCAAGGTCGGGGAGCTCACTAACTTTTGAAGTAACATCAGGCCTATGGTCAGAAGCAGACAGCTCTACCACATCAATTATCTGGAATATGAGGCTGTAATCCGGGCAATATTTCATTGGACACCACAGTCAAGAAACCAACGTCTGATGATCGGGACACTCATTTCAACTGTGGCATACACTATACACTTTCAAGACAAGCTCAACTTACCGATAAAGGCAAGACATACACCAGGAGCGGCAAATGGATTAGTACACACCTTATCCAGACAAGCCAGACTATCACCAACAGAATGGAAGCTGTGGCCGAAGCACTCCAACTGGCATTAAAAGAAAAGGTTGTCTACTAAAAACCCTATTTGCATCAGATAACATGGTGTCACCAGCGCCCACTAGCCTGGCCAGTCGATGCTCTGACAATATCATGGGAGGACTAAGATGCATATGCGTTTCCCCAATCAGCCTTGATACCATGGATACTACAAAGATCCTACACACGAGCTACCTACAACTGCTGTTGGTAGCGCCTTCTGACCGACAAGAACTTGGGTTCCAGTTCTAAGACTTCCAAACTGGTCACATCTACTGCTACATTCTCCCTCCAATCAGGTTCATCCAAGACCAGAATTATATAAACTTCACGTATGGAGTATATCAAGAGCAGTCTTGTAAGAGGATTTTCCATTAGAGCAGCTAAGGCAGCCTCCTTAGCAATTCGTCAATCAACGAGAATCTCTGTGACGATAAATGAAAAAGTTTTCACCAATTTGCAAGATCCAGGGATTTCTCCAGCCAAGCTACTGTACCACAAGTAGGAGATTACCTTTGTCACTTAAGAAGTACAAGGCATCTTATGGTTCAACACTGGGCACTTACTGGGCAGCGATCAGTTCTGTACCAACTACTCACTAAAGGGATAAAACTTACTATAGTTCCCGAACTGATAGATCTACACAGATCTTTCAGACTGTGAGTAATTCAGGCGTTACCATGACTTCAGGCTCCAAGGTTTCCGCTGTTGCTGACCTTCGGACATTGATTTGCTCATACCACCTTAAGGTGGCCCTCCAGCATGGGATCTCCCTGTATTCTTCCGTCATCTGGCTGACTATGAACCACTTGTGGATAAAACCTCGAACTTTACGTTCATGTCGGCTCCTGCAGTTGTGTTAGAGGGACTCGTGCTTAGACGTCGTAGTATTCAAGGACAACTGGATCGTCTTTTCAGCCTCCACCACTCTCATTCATGGAGAGCTGATGTCATGGAAGACGTCTCACTTTGCCCAGCCTAAGCCAACAAGATCTACTTGAAGGCATCTCAGACCAACTTCTGATGTATCTTGACCGACCATCTCCACTGGCTGCGTTCTATCATCCTCAGGGTCTACACCTTTGAGGGACTACCATCCCAGCTGCTTCCAATCCTCATGAGACACGGGCAGTGACTTTCACCTTGGCGTTGGTAGTATTGCACACTTTTAGCTATCATGGAGGGATGTTCTGGGGTTCTGATATGGTCTTTGCCTCCTTTCGGAATCTCAGTCGCCTACGTCCAAGGTCACAGCAGCCACACAGCACAGATGAGGAAGCCAGCGGATTACAAGTCCCAAGTCTTGTTTCCTGTATATCCTGCAATATTTTCATGTATTGCTTATGTTAATCGGGTTTCCCAGACAAACTCCCAGAGGGAGGGTATATATGCTTGTCTGTTGGGACTTCGGTCTACGTCAATAGAAGCCACCATCCGGTGCGTCCATTTGTTTAAATGGTGTCCCAATCTTCTACCTGCTCACCTCTGTCTTTTGCACATGTGATGTCTCCGTAGTTAATTGAAGACCTGTGTGATAAATGGGTATCGTCGATTGTTGCCTCTTCTCGTTCTCACCTGATTTAATCTCTACGTGAGTTTTATAGGTTGACAAAGTGAAAAAAGAGATGCCAGGTTGGTCCGCCTTACGTCCTTAGGAGCGTATGTGTGAGAGCTGTCTTGTAGAACCTACGCTCGGCTGGGGACAGGGTGTTTTAAAGAAAAGACCTCCTCCTATCCGTTGTGAGGTTTAAGTCGTGACCGAGTAGGTGTCACCTGGCTCATGGTTATGCGGTCATTCTTGGAAAGGCGTCCTGTGTGAAACCATGGAACACATGATTCCCCGATGTCATTATGTATATATCTTGGTAGCACAAAGAGGGTTTTTTGAAGCAACCCAAACACGAGTTTATCACTAATCCTTGTAAAATCCTTTGGATTTTCCTGATTAGTTCAAGCTTCCTCGTATACGGTTATTACGTTATTGCGTTATTACGGTATACGTCTCACGGTTGGGGTCCTTACAGGCTAGGGTATCTGCGCCCCACCATCCAACTGTGGGATAAATTCATAGTGTGAGATAGGATAAGTTTAAAATTTGTAAATTTTCTAATAAATTGTATATTTATATACTTATCCTATCTCACACGCTAAATACCCACCCAACCATCCCCGCATCACAGTTACACCAGCCTGTACGCTCTAGATTGAGATGCTGGATATGTCAGGTGATCAGGTCGCTGGGGTCGTGTCGCACGGGTTTTAGTGGTGCGTGAACCATGATCACAGTGGTGATTTGGTGATGTATGAGATATGTTTGGGTGAGTGGTGTTTTTGAAGCTGGAAACTTTGTTCTAGGACGTTTCCACACCAAGATCGAAGAATAAGAAGAAATGCATAGTGTGAGATAGGATAAGTATATAAATATACAATTCATTAGAAAATTTACAAATATTGGGAATCGGAGTATTCCCCTTTTCTATGTACTTACCCTGAAACAACAGGTCATACCTGGCTGCCCGTCCATCCTCTCGAAGTTTTGGACCATTTGTCACCTGTCTGCAGATGAAAAGAAACACAGGAGCATGCTAGGAGGGTGTGTTGGGTGAATGTTCTACATTGTTCTGCATTGTTTTACAATCAAGGCAAGAACGAATATTACATCCTGTTTTGTCAGGATAAGTATATAAACAAGGGAAGTTGTCTGATTCCCCTTTGTATTTTTCAGGCATTTCTTGAACCCCTATAGCATTGCAGTTTGTCTATCCAAGTCAACAGCAGTGTTCACCAACCTGGCAACTCTGCTCACCATCCTCAATGCACTGCAAGGTAAGCTGTCTCTGCATTATCAGAACTGCACACTCTACAGCCTTCGTGTTCTGCGAGAAGCAGAAATATTCACAAGCTAGGAGCTGTGGTATACATAATAGCTATAGCTCACATCAATGTGACCTATATTCTTAAGATGAATTTTGATTCTCCATCATATTATCGCTACATCAATCAATCAGTTTATTCGGTAATAAGGCCTCAGGCCCACGTACATATATATACAAATTAGTTTCACATCAAGTGCTGCATGAAATAATATTTACAGGTAAGAAGAACGAAGACAGATAGCATTTTTAACATAATTGGCTAAGTTCTCAAGGCGGTTTACATCAGAAGAGTTTAACATTCTAACCAGTGTGTCTTTACGATTATTACCAGTAATGAAGTCTAAATATGGGAAATATTTTGAGCGAATATCTTCATAAATAGGGCAAACAAGAATGAAATGAATTTCATTTTCAACTGCCCTTAACTTGCACAATGGACAAAACCGGAGTGTCTTATCGATGCCATCCCTCCTTCCTGTGTTATGCATAATTCCCAGTTCTCCAATACGTAAAAGGGTAAGCATACGTCGCTTTTCTTTTGATAATACATTTAATAGATACGGTTCAAGTGATAATGATGTCTTAAATAATGAATACAGTTCTAATTTCGAGCATCCAGACAATTCAGAATACCATGTTTGTGCATGACAGTCCTTAACCCTCAGTATAAACTCACTTATAAAATATTCAGGATCACCAGCACCTTGAAATTCCCACACATGTCCGAAGCCATGAGAATATAACATATTCTTAATAGCTGAAACCCATGTATTCCTACCAACGGCATCAAACCTAAGTAACATATCGTAAACCCGTTTTGGAAATCTCTCTTGAGACATATGAAGAAGCTTAAACCAGTATCTTAAACATCTTGTGTAAGAATCAATATAAATACCATATCGACCACACTCTCCGAGCACTGCAACATTTGTAGATTTGGAAGCCATGAGAACATAACATATTCTTAATAGTTGAAACCCATGTATTCCTACCAACGGCATCAAACCTAACTAACATATCGTAAACCCGTTTTGGAAATCTCTCTTGAGACATATTAAGAAGCTTAAACCAGTATCTTAAACATCTTGTGTAAGAATCAATATAAATACCATATCGACCACACTCTCCGAGCACTGCAACATTTGTAGATTTGGAACCGATACCCAAAACAAATTTACAAAACTTTGCTTGGAAACGTTTATGAACCCCCGAAATCTCTGAACCATATAAAATAATAGGTTTAATCTGAGAGTCGAACATTTTAAACAACACTTTGGGAGCGATATTTTGAAGTTTATAACTAAGCTGTTTTATAGGAATTAAAGCTTTACTTGCTTTCAAAACTAATGTCTGAACTGTTTTCGACCAACACAGCCTGTTTGAAAATATAATACCCAAATAACTGTAATATGTAGAAACCTTGACAGGCATACGCCCCAGTTTCCATTTCTCGTAGTTCCTCAACTTACCACCATTACGAAAAACTAAGATATCAGTTTTATCCATGTTAACTTTTAGACCCCATTTGTTACAAAATTTGTGTAAAACATCAATCTTCTTCTGTAGTTCAAGAACTGAATCTGCAAAAATACACAAGTCATCTGCATATAAGAGAAGAACCAATTCCAGTAAATCCTCGTGTACAAATATCCCTCTACCACCACACTGCTGGATGTCCTCTTCCAACTGGTTTATGAATAACGAAAACAAAAGAGGACTTAAAACGCACCCTTGTGGCACACCACTGAGACTGTTAAAATAATCTGAGATGCTACTCTTTTGAAATTTTAACACAAGCGAGAGTTTTAGAATAAATGTCCTGTATGATAGTAAATAGTTTCCCATGAATTCCTTTTGAATGCAGAACAAACCAAAGAAGATCCCTGTTAATAGAGTCGAAAGCTTTCTGAAAGTCTATGAACATACAGTAAAATCTTCCTTTTGACTTAGACAAATATTTCTGCACTAATGATTGAAGAATAAACTTGTTATCCACTGTGGAATATCTTTTTCGGAAGCCAGCCTGACATTCCGGGAGCTTATCATATAACTTAACAAAATGCTTTAATCTATTATTCAAAACCTGGGTAAAAACCTTACCACAAATATCCATCAAGGAAATGCCTCTATAATTGTTAACAACATGAACATAACCTTTCTTGAGTAGTATAGGTAATGATGGTTCTGGCTCACTTCCACTGGAGCCGGATTCATATACCTATACTGCTACTACAGGTGGCATTTTTTATGCCAAAATGATTATGCGATTCAACGATAGTCATAAGTTGTATTAAACGAAACATCAATATTAATTAATAATGGATAAAATTTACTATAGCCCATGAGGATATTGGAAAGGTGTAGGAGCAATAAAAAAATTAGCCACCGCGGCTAAGGTATCTAAAGATGTGGCCAAGGATTGGTTAAAGAAACAAGCGATGTGGCAAATATTTTTACCGGCACCGCGTTTGATATTTTTACGACGAATGAAGTTCATCAGGCTGACCTCTTGTTTCTTCCCCACGATAAGGTAAAACGCAAAACATGTAAATACGCTTTAACAGTAGTGGATGTGGCTAGTCGATACAAAGAGGCTGAGCCATTAACCTCGAAAGAATCAACAGAAGTAGCTAATGCACTGAGTCGCATATATAAACGCGGACCACTAAAATGGCCTAAGCTATTTCAAGTAGATCCTGGTCGCGAGTTTATGGGATCAGTAACTAAACTGTTAACAAAGCACGATGTCGAAATCGTCCGTGGTGAAAGAGAGGCCCACCGCAGTCAAGCTATCGTTGAAAGATTTAACCGGACATTAGCGGAACGTTTGTTTGGCTATCAGTATGGGATCGAAATGAAATCCGAGCGATTGAGATCAACCGAATGGGTGACACGATTATCAGCTGTTGTATCAGCGCTGAATAATGAAGTAACAAGATTAATAGGGATGAAACCATCCGATGCTATTAAAATGAAATCCGTGACTTCCGAATCTTCAGCACCGAGGAGAGGCAAAGAACGAAAACTTCCGGATAGAGTAAGCGTAAGATATTTATACCAGTCCGGTGAACTCGAAGGAGGCCTACGTCGCGCAACCGATCCCACATGGTCCCTTAAGACATATAACATTAGTCGATTGGTAACGAAAGAAGGAGAGCCTATTCTTTATTATCTTCAAGATGGACCGGGTAGGGCATTTGTACGAGAAGAGTTGTTCATAGTTCTCGACGGTACGGTATTACCACCATAACCATAAGCATAGGTAGTTACACCATCATTATCAATCCATCTCTTTGTATCTAAGGGGGATAATGATGTCTTGTTCATTCTTAATCCATATATCCTATGATTGTAACATCTTAAAGAGTTCATCTCGTGTTTTAACGTTCTACCGTTGAATAATGATTCTTTATACTGTTCGTGTTTGATATGCTTTTTTACAACATACTTCTTAACGCCCTTGGCTTTTCTTATCTCTCCATTATCGGACTTCTTTATAGAATACATCTTAGGTCTTAATCCTACATACTCTGCTATAGGGGTCCCAGCACATTCATCCTTCATCTTACCTAACACCTTTTTATTTACTACGCTGTGCAGTGGATTATCTTTCGGGTAATCGCTCGTGTCGTACATATCTATTTTTTCTGCCATATCTTTATACACATCCTCGGTTTGTATTTCCATCAACAAAGAATCTGTGTCGGTATATAACACCTCGCATCTATCACCGTATTGCTTCTTAAGTTCGTTGTAATAAAAGTCATACATTAAGTGTTTTGACAAGTCGAGAATACTCATACCGACGTACACTGGTCTGTTGAATTTTATATTACTCTTCTGCATATGCAACGCGGCTAAGTCGTTATCGAATATCTTGCTTCTGTTAAAAGCCGGACTGGCTATAAGTTTCCTGAGTCTTTCTTCCTCATTAGATCTGACTAATTTAACATCAACACGCTTCCTTAGATTCTCCATAGTTTTACCAAATACTGAGTTATTCATGAGCTTATACAGGTTCTTTTCGAAATCGCTGGTAGCTATCTTTCTTAAATCTGTGTTCAACCTTATATAGGGCTCCATCCAAGGGCTTTGATCAAACTTTAGAACTCTGTGTATTTTCTTAAGTTTCATACCTAACGATAGATACAACTGGAGATTTCTGTAGTGAACTATATATTTTGTTTTATCCATCAAATTTGGTACGAGTTTTTCTACGTTAGCTAACCTACTATTACCCATCAAGGAGTGTTGATATTCCGACATCCAATCTTTATTAACCATTAATCTTTCGGGAGCTAGCGGATAACTGTTATGATCTTTATGTAACGAACTTGGATATTCCAAGTCAACTTCTAGTATGTACCCTTTATTCGCATCATTATTATGGATATTATGGATATCATTCACTTTGATATCATTGACCCATTCAAAACCACCCGTGGGTAAAGGTTGACTCATAGCCCATCCGTACAAATTGTTGGCATCGAGATATAATATGTGCGTGTCGGGTTTACTCGGATCGTATCCTTCCACTAATTTATTTTTAGCCTTAGAATACCTTTTCGCTGCCATCGATATACCACCTCTTAATCCTTTCTCAATAAACAAGTGCATATCGTAATCTGTGAGTAGTTTTAGTTCTACGCCGGTCTTCTTCAACAATGCATCCCACGATAGTCCGGGACTGGAATAGTACCATGCCGGATCCAAGCCGTATTGTTTTAAACATGTCTTTCTAAATATCTCGAATATATCGGCGAGTAACAGTACATCGGTTTTTAAGTACAGATCGTGACAATCGCCTAAATTCTTACAACCTAATTTATCCTAGACCGTCAGAGCGTGTTTATAATCGGCATCTGTTATTCTAGATTCTGTTAAGTTACTATAGAATGATTTGAGGGGTGGTAATTCAGTTTCTTCGAATCTAGACCAATCATCCATATA